TCAAGAGCTGAAAAGAAGAAATCTGAGAATAAACAAAAACGATTGTGGAAGGATAGTGAATAGAATGTGGCTTGTTCTGAAAGGAAAAAAAAAAAGAAAGGGTAAGAAACGAGAAGAAAGAAGAGACGAAAGGGAAAATGAGAAAAAAGAAGGAAAGAAAAGGAAAATGGTGATAAAAACAGAAAGAATTGGAAAGTGATGAGAAAAAGAGGAAAGAATGGGAAAGAAAGTGAAAAAGAAAGGGACGGAAGTAAGTAAACATAAGGAAAGAAAGGGAAAGAGAAGAGAAGGAGGAGAAGACGAAGGGGAAGGAGAAGAGAAAAGGAAGAAAAGAAGTGAAAATGGCGGAAAAAAAACCAGAAAGAAGTGAAAAGTGTGGAGAAAAGGAGAATGGGAAAGAGATGAAAAGAAAACGGAAAAGAAAGAAAGAGAAGTAAAGATAAAGAAAGAAATGGAAGGAAATGAGAAAAAGAAGAAAAGAACGGAACAAAAGAAGGAAAAAGAGAAAAAATGTGAAAGAAAGGGATATAAGTGAAAGAGAAAAATGGAAGGAAGGAGTAAATTGATGAGAAAAGAGAAGGAAAGAATGGAAAAGAAATGAGAAAAATATGACATAAAATGATATACATGAAAGAGAAAAGTAAAGAAGTGGAAACAGACGAGAAAATGGAGGAAAGAAATACAATGAAGCTAGAATCCAAATATTTAGAAAAAGTACAAAAATGGTGACCCTGATATACGTCACTCTGAAAGAAAGAGTAATAAAAAAAATGGCTAGAAAAAGAGAAAATGTTACCGACAAAAGTATATGTGGAGAAGAAAAGTAAAAAGAAAATGAAAGGAATTATGGGTAAAATGTTATCAATGAAAATACAAAGGCAAATGAAAGAGGAAGTAAAACATTTCAGAAGTCGGAGACAAATGTGAATGTCGGGTGTTATTCTAAATAATAGAAAAGGAAAGAAATAAGACAACGATAGCAGTTAATGAAAAAAAGATCGTTTAAGGGAGAAAAGGAAAAGAAAAAAATGAGGACAAAAAAGACGAAATAAAATTGATTGTAAAAAACAAAGGAAAGAAAGTACAAGAGGAAAAGGAAGAAGAAGTAAATAATTGATGATGGAGAAAGAGAAGAAAAGCAAGACGGGAAGAAAGGAAAGAAAAAAGAATGAGAAAAGGAAAAGAAGAACTTTAAGCGGAAATCGAATAGAAAAGAAGAGAATAATGAAAAGAAAGAAGAAAAAGAAAAATGAAAAGAAAAAAAGAGACAGATAAAAAAACGAAAAGAAGAAAACATGTAAAGAAATACAAAGAAGAAGAAAAGAAAAGAAGAGAAAATGAAAAGAAAAAAAAGGAAGAGACAAATGAAAAAAAACAAAAGAAAAGGAAAATATAAAGAAATAAAAAGAAAATAAGAGCAAAATGAAAAGAAGAAAAAGAGAAAATCGCAATAAAGAAAACGAAACGAAAGAAAAATCAGAGGAAAATGAAAACAAAAGACAAAAAGAGAAAATTGAACAGAAAGAAAAAGTAAGAAATAAAAATGGCCAAAAGAGAATGATGGAATAATAATTCTGAAAATAAAGAAAAATAAAAAAAAAACGAAATCGGACGGAAAACACTGCAGAATTAGAAAACTAAAACAAAAAAGAGAATTTCCTCTTCTAATAAAAATCCTAAATTCTCACCAGAATCTATGTTATAATTTATAATTTATAAGGCCATGTATTTCCACATCTGGCCTGGTGTTTATTCTATATATCTAAAAATACTTGACAAAATCCAAAGAAAAATCTGCCCTGACATTTCGGTATCAGTTATTTTCCCCCCTCTCCGTAATATAGCTTATCTTTGCTTTCTCTAATATATTAACATGGCAATTCATTTGATCAGATCTTCTCTTTGATGCGTCGACTTTATGAATTGAAGTACGGTACTAGATTGGCACTTATGGCTCATCATTTTACTGTTGAAATTGTTAGATGTTCTATGCTAACAATTTCTTCTCTCGAACTTCTGGCTCCTTTGCTGTCAAAAGTCCTTCCTAATTGTGCCAAAAGAAAATAACGATTTTTAAATCATAACAACGCTGCAAATTAGTGAGTTCGATCCCCACTGGGTGTTTCACACTTTCGGCTTTGTGCAACGATTAGAAAATAATTTGGGGGGTCACCTCGAAGTTCGTCTCACTAGAACAATTAAAACTGAATAGTGAGTTCAATCCTCACTGTGTACCTTGTACTTGAGACCTTGTGCCACATCTAAACTACGCTTAGAAATTCATGATAACAATACAGCAACGATAAAAGGTCAAATATTTGATACGTTTTGAATAAGTAAATCTCTGTGATTTACATATAAAATTGCAGGTCGTGAAATCGTTTATTGATGTGGGGGTTGTTTCTCCCCCTGGGAAAAATATGAAGCCATTACTTTTTGTCTTTGGGTAAAATAGCATAGTTAATTGGGTTCTATAAAGATTATAATTCAAACTGTTAGGCCAGCGTGGCAGAGATAGTTAATTACTCTACTCTGAGAAAGCTTTAGTTTTACAGTGGACTTAAGAAAAACCTGCTGATACACAGATGGATTGAAAAGTAGGAGTTCGTTTTAAAATACTTATAATTTATTTACTAAGTATAGTTTATATAAGAAATGGATGAGAGTGGAAAGCATGAAATTTTATTTAAAATTAGATATGGGCACAAGATTTCGCTAGCAGCTTCTCGAATGGCCCTGGAATTGCCTCAACTGATTTCACCAGGAACTCTTGGGGTATGAAAGACATAATTTCTTGTATTCGCCCTTCAAGTTCTACCAAAGACTAGGTTTGCTATAGTAGAATTGCTCCTTTAACAAACCCCAAAGAAAAAAGTTTTAAGTCAGGACACCTGGCTGGCCAATGATACATAAAATAGCGAGTTACTTTTCAATCACCCTATATATACATAGATACATACATACATACATACATACATATATATATATATATATATATATATATATATATATATATATATATATATATATTTTTTATATATATATATAAAAAGAGATAGAGAGAGAGAGAGAGAGAGAGAGAGAGAGCGAGAGATAGTAAGCGAGAGAGTGTGTGTGAGAGAGTCATTGCAGATATCCCCTGACGAGTGGACGGAATAATTGCTGGCAGTCAGTCTACGGAACTCTAGTGCGAGGATGTTGAAGGTACAACAATAAGCTAAGTGACAAACCTTATATTTGTATTAATTATATATCTACAGGGTGATTGAAAAGTAACTCCTCAATTTAAAATACTAATGATTTATTTATTAACTATAATTTTTACAAGAAATTGATATGAGAAGAAAGTTCGAGGTTTTATCTAAAATTCGATATGGGCACAAGATTTCGCTATAAGCTTCTTGAACGGCCCAGGAATTGCATCAACTGATTTCGCCAGAGACTCTTGTGGTATGGAAGACATAACCTCTTGTATTCTCCCTTCAAGTTCGTCCATTGTCTTGGTTTGGTATCGTAAACTTGTTCCTTTAACCAACCTCAAAGAAAAAAGTCACAAAATGTCAGGACACCTGGCTGGCCACTAATATATAAAATAGGGTGTTATTTTTCAATCACCCTGTACATAAAAAATACATAAACTTGATTTAAATAAATATCTTAATTCATAATAATATATTAAACCCTGAGTTTGAGTCAGACAGGTGGTGGCAATTATTCTTTATTTATAGAGAAATCTACTCGGTACATTCTAATCAAACTGCCCGTTTCATTAAAAATTCAGCATTTTTCTACCACCCTAGACACTTTCTCATTGAATGCTCGAAGCGAATTTCAGCTTCGAGCATTCCAGGACAAAGGGTTTTGATTTGAATATTTAATAATTATTTCTCGGGTTGATTTTTATTCCAAAAATGAATAATCGTCTTGGCTCATCTATTTGAAACATATTCAACTCATTAAGTCCAAAGAAGAGAACACTTGTCGGTGTTTTTAAGAAAACATGTATTAAAAGAGGATTGCTGCCCAAACACACACGTATACATACATGCATACACGCACGCACAGACACGCAAGCACACACACACATATATATATTATGTCATAAAGAAAAAATTATACAAAGAATTAAACAGAAATGTTAATATGATTAATGTCAAAATCACTTCGCTAACAAGACTTAATGAAACATTATCTTACTATCAAGTCATTTAATAATAAGATCCTTATATTCGAGTGGATTTTAGATGGATAACATATGCTGAGTACTTTCAACAATTTCAAACAGTCATCTTCAGTGCGCAATTTTTTTTTTCCATACATAGGCAAACACTAAGACGAAATATGTGCAGACCGATATATATATATATATATATATATATATATATATATATATATATATATATATATATATTGTGTGTGTATTTAGGCAGCATTTTTTCATTCATACATATTTCATTAAGTAATATAGACAAGTGTTGTCTATTTTATGTAAATACTTTTCATAACGACTGATAAGCTTAATAACATTATCATTAATTGAAGAAAGAATATCACAATATTGATCCATTTTTTAATCCAATCTAAGTTGTACAGTAATTGGCATCTTTGATAATGGGTTATATAAGCCGAAAGCTGAGATTGGATTAAAAAATATGGATCAATATTGTGATTTTCTTTCTTCGTTTAATGATAATGTTATTGCTTATCAGACGTTATGAAAAGAATTTACATAAAATAAATGGACAATACTTGTCTATATTATTTAATGAAACATTTATATATATATATATATATATATATATATATATATATATATATATATATATATAGGAGGTTAATTGTCAGAGCTGAATCAGACCAGGAAACAGTAGTATTAAAAAGTGATCCATAAATAATATAAAAGTAAAAATATCACGTAAAGCATTTAACTTTAAAAAGGTCATTTTATAAAAATCGGCTGAGGATACCGTAAGGTTGAAACCAAGGTAGCGGATACAACTTACCTCCTGATCCGCCATATTTTTAATTTAAATTTTATTAAAGAGTATATTTATTTATTTGCACCTACCGGTCTAAATATTCGAGAAATTTTATTAGAAAAAATATCCTGCTGGAGAATGTATATTTTTATATTTTCGTCAGTCGAAATAAACTTATTCCCCATATGAGGTGATTTTGGACTATGTTGTGCATTAATTTTTTCTCTGCAATAAATACATTGAGCTCTTTTTATGGATCAATTTTAATATTTTATATTATTAGGATCGACTTGGATTATATACGAATACCTTTACTATATATATATATATATATATATATATATATATATATATATATATATATTGACCGACTTCGTATTAATTTTAAAATACCGAATATCGAAATCATAGTCAGGAACACAGATTTGAGTGATTTTGATAAAAGTAGAATTGTTACTCTCAGAAAATTAGCTGGGGTAATTTATAAGTTGCCCACAGTTTCAGTGAGTATCTATGGCTTTCAGAGTGTAGAAAACCATCAGCCATCGACGAGGCAATGGGTGGTCAAAATTTATTGAAGCGAGAAGTGAACAGGTTTTTTTCCCGCCAAATACGAATAGTTAAACGTCCTGCTTTAAAAGGCCTGATCTTTTAAAAAAAGACTATGGGTTGTAATTGTTTAAAAAAAGACTATTGGTTGTAATTGTTTTTAATGAATTTTCATAATTTTCTGTAATGAAAGGTTTTGTACATACTTATTATAAAACTCAGGCTCTGTGTGTGTGTGTGTCTGTACGTTTATATATTGGATCGGATTTCCAACATTTTTCAACCGATTTCAACAAAACTTCACAGGACTACGTAAAATTACCTTGCGGTGGTTCTGACAGCGCCAAAAATGGGAAAAACACAATTGTTTTTGCACGAAATCAATTTGAAAACGTGTTTAAGAGGCATCGCGAAAATGAAAGGGGGACAACTCATATCGAGTTATACTTATTATAAAACCCAGGTTGTTTGTGTGTGTGTGTGTGTGTGTGTGTTCGTTTATATATAGGATCGGATTTCCTACATTTTTCAACCGATTTCAACAAAACTTCACTTTTTTTTAGCAGGTAGTGTTTCTTATTGTCTTGCACACTTTTTTCTTTATTTTTACATACAAAATGCTTTAAAAAATCCATTTACAAAACAATTGTTTATAATAAAATTCTATTCAATCGGTAGACTCATAACGATTGAAAACAATGTTTTTATTTGAGTTTTGGTTTGACCAATTCGTAAAAAAAAAAAAAAAAACTAATTAAGACATGCGTGTCCGTCAACTTTAAACAATAATCTTTGTCAATTTTATTTTTCAGTCTTTACGATGGTCGATACTTGATCTATTTCTTACTGTTACATCCCCGGGCAACGCCGGGTTCTACTGCTAGTATTTAATAAAATGAATTGTTTATAATGTTCCGGATAGATTTTTTTTTCATAAGTGAATCGTCCCGGCGTGTTTTCGATGTTATCCTATTATTATTGTATTGGTCCCACCACTCGTTAGTTCGCACGACCATTACGCCTTGTAAATAATAATGATGGACTATTTCGTTTTGATCGCGTGGAAAGAGGGGAAAAGACGCTACCTGGTTTCAATGGGAAAATGAAAGAAAGAATGAGAGAGAGAGAGAGAAAGAGAGGTAGAAGAGAAGATAGACGTTTTTAACGTCTCCTGACAATATTACATTAATAATAAACTATTTTGTTTTGATTACATGGAAAGAGGGGGAAAAGACTTGGTTTCACTTAGAAAATGATTGAAAGAAAGAAAGAAGGGACGTTAAGAGAGTTTAACGGCTGTTTCAGTGAAATGGAAAATTTGTCAATTTAAAATCTTTTTATTTGTACCCCCTTACTTCTTAAAATAACAAACAGCATTCATATTTATGATTGTTGTTGCAATTGTTAAGCTCAAATAGTTAACGCTGCGATAGGACAATTTCTATGGATATTTTATTGTCGTAGAACTGGCCATGAGCTTACTCAATCATGGAGATACGCCCAATGGATAAGCCGGCTAATCTCGTGTATCATAAGTATTTTAATACGTGATCTTATTATGTAGTTAAAAATATAGTGTTATTGCGCCTTACTACTATAGTAGATTCAAGCATCACCTGGTGTCCTAATAGTGTCACCTTATGCCAGACTAAAATAAAATTGTTAAATCTAAGTTAAAAATAGTACATGTTATCCGGGGCTGTCGTGGTTAGTGAGTTATAGCAAGTGTAGCCATTTCGATCTTTGTACCGACAATTGTGGTTTGGGGATAAGTTTACTTAAATAAAATGTAAAGATAGCATTATGCACGTGCTTGATGGCTTCTCGTGGCATGATGGCAAAACACATCTTTTTTTTCAGTAAAACCCTTTTCTTTAAGATAAAAGAGGCCAAAACAACCGTTACTAAGTCAATAAAAAATAACCAGAAGGTCTCTAAGACTACATCATAAAGTGTATTCGTCTTTCGGGGTTTTCGCGCGTCCGCACGTCGAGAGCAGCTTCCCTCGACTGAGAAAAACAGTGGTGTTATATAGCTCTCCTAATCCCAGACCCACGCTGACTATTGACTAATACCTGCCAGTATCGTTCACATTGCAAATAGGCAGCGCCATCTACTCTAAGTAGATCTTCTCTCAATAGGGAAACGCAACTCCTAGTGCTTACAGTACCATATACAACCAACTCGGAGTCTTTTATTGGGCTGACCCCATTGTCTGTTACACAAAGTTGGTTCACGTTTGCCTACCGTAAATCTTTGCAAGAACACCTATCCATGCGCAACATAGGACAGCAAAAATCCAGATATTATCCGAATGTTGATCAGAGTCGACTCGCTATGCACGATTAAAGAGTTCGGGATCCTATATGAAGCAACCAGAAAACTACCAACCCAACACGATTAGTCATATCAGCAAAATAGAGTTACTATCATTACGGCATTAAGATGGAACCGAAAATCACATCTTAAATAGGCAAAAAGGAATGAATCTTTTGTTCAGTAGACATGGTTAGATCCAGTGACTAGACCCAAAGGGTTGTGAATTCAATACCAGTCCACGGCACTGGTGAACGAAAAATTGTTGAGTTGAGTTAAAGGGAAATAACTAAGACATCCGGGAGAGGCATGGCACATGGAACTAGAACAGTCTCTTCCGATGGGAGAAATATAGGGTTTGGGTCGAAATTCCAGTCACCTGAAGAAGGCCGGAGCGTACAACGGCCGAAACGTTGTGAATATGGCAATGAAGATGAGGATAACAGTCCGAATAATATTAGTAATGCAAGTAATCATAATACAGCATCTCAAAGATATAGACAGATCTTTTGTTCAGTAGACATGGGTGAGGTGTAAAAAGGGCGGTAGATTAAACTAAGACATAGATTTATAATCAAACCGCTCTGCCCACTAAAATATAATATTTATATTAATAAGAAATAACATTGGATTAAAAAGTGCATGAATTTCTTATAAATAAAATGTAAATAAAACGATTGAATGTTAAAAGTTATAAATTGTGCTTGTAAATTAAATGAAAACCATGAAATACATGGTGGTGGGGAGTGAGGCGTTGTGGTGAAAATCTATCAGTCATCAGCAGAAAGAATTCATAAGCCATGTTCAAATTTCAGGTGGGACTGCTTGCATCATTTTTTCATTAATACCTTTAGGAATCCTATTTTCTTTGAGCTGACCTCCCGCCAGTTATATTGATAATCTTCTTGCAACTAGCTTCCCCAAAGCAAGAGTAAGTGATAGCCAACCTTTTCCTTTCTTTGACCTGTCTTGGCAGCTATAGCAAAATGACTATTGCATCAATTGTCACTGAACATGCGTGGTACTTAAATATATGGAATTCAATTCCAGTTCCAATGCGTCAGTAATCGTACTTTTGACTATCAGATTTCTTTCTTTCTTTCTTTCTTTCTTTCTTTCTTTCTTTCTATACCGGATTTCACTTTCTTTCTTTTTTCTTTCTTTCTTTCTTTTTGATTTCATGTCTTATATTCTGTTGAATTTCCTTTCTTCTTTCCACTTTTCTTTGTTCTTTTCTTTTTCACGCACCTGTCTGTCTTTATTTTGCTCTTTCATTCATTCATTCGTTCATTCTTTCTTTCTTTCATTCTTTGTATTTATTTACTGTCTTGTATTCTGTTGAATTTCATTCTTTCTCACGATTTTTTCCTTCCATTCTTCTTTGTTCTTTTCCTTTTCACGTTCCTTTCTATCTTCATTTCTCTCTATATTCCTTTCTTTCTTTCTTTCTTTCTTTCTCTACTTTTGTATTCTGTTGATTTTCCTTTCATTTTCACTGTTTTTTCTTTCCATTTTTCATTGCTCTTTTCTTTTTCATTTTCTTTTCTCTCCTCATTTCACTCTTTCTTTCTTTCTTTCTTTCTTTCTCACACTTTATATATGGCTATATACATCCATTCACACTTTATTTCTCCTTTGTAAAGCCTTCTTTTCTTTTTTTTCATTCTTTCTTTCTTTTGTCCATTTTATTCCTTTCTTCATTCAATCTTTCGTTTCTTTCTTCCTTTTTGTCGAACGCTTACTCTTTCTCCATCGCACGAAAAATCCTAAATATTTTTTTTATAGAAAGACTTCGATCGATGTCCGCTTTCTCCAATGACCCACCTATACTCGTAGCCAACTTTCTAATTTACATGTTTAATTGTCATCACCGCGAATTCGAGGGATCTACCGTTTTCGCGGGGAAAAACAACCGAGAAAATGAAAGTAAAAGTAGACAGCCTCACTAATGTAATAAAGATCGCCATGTTTAATGGAGGCGTCAAAGATCGCGTCATTTTCTTTCTCTCGGTCTTTCACGTTATAGAGGTTTACTTCTTTCTCTTTATAAAGTTCTTCCCCTCTTCCTCTCTTTAAAGAGATCTTCCTGTCTCTCTCACTCTTTCTTGTCCTTAAAAAGACATGAAATTGCATCGGTGATAACAACATTACATTAATTCAATAAGTGATGAAATATTTGATGGACGTTTGCATGAATTCTTTGTACGAAATACTTTGAAAGAAAACAAAAATAAAGCCGAAAACATTACGAATAGATGTAAAATACGATATAAAAAGTAAAAAAGACAAGTAGAAGGTAAGTAAAAATACAATGAGTGTTTAAAAAAAAAAGAAAGAAAGAAAATGTCTGGTGTTAAAATGAACCGAGTTTGAAAATTACATGATTGAATTAAAACATTTCAATTTTAATGGCTATAAGAGAAATGAAAGAGAGATAGCGTAACAATAAGGAGGATTGTTGGTGGGGTGACAAAAAGGACACGCCCTATGGATTTCGTTTGCTCATCTTTTTCTGGTTGGGAGTTTTGTTGTACATTTCATTGGTCCTGGTGTTGCTTTTATCTAGACCTTCAATTGAAAATCGTAACACACACATACACTCACACACACACAAACACACAGAGAGAGAGAGAGAGGTGAGAAAGAGAGGAGAGAGAAAGGAGAGAGGAAATAGAGAGATAGAGGGAAAGAGAGAGAGGAGATAGAGAGAGAGAGGAGAGAGATGAGAGAGATGAGAGAGAGAGAGGAAGGAAGTGACAGAGAGGAGAGAGAGATGAGAGAGAGAGGTGAGAGAGGGGAGAAAGGAGAGAGAGGGGGAGAGGAGATAAAGAGAGAGAGGGGAAGGGCAAGAGAGGAGAGAGAGAGGAAAGGAGATAGAGGAGATAGAGAGGAGATAGAGAGATATGAGATAGAGAGAGAGAGGTGGGGAGGAAGTGACAGAGAGGAGAGAGAGACTCATTGATAAACGCACACAATTTTATTTACAAACATGCACAACAAAACAAATTCTGCTACTAACACAGAGCACATTATCATATATATATATATATATATATATATATATATATATATATATATATATATATATATATATATATTATATATATATATATATATATATATATATATACGATCACCGAAGTCCAGCCACGTCGAGAGCGAGTATGGATAATGGTTCAGAAATGTTAATCAGAAGTGCCGAGTTCGATTTCCCGCTGGGTTTGTTATATTCACTTACGCAAAAGGAAAATATATGAATTTATCTCTTCTCCCTCCTGCTATGGGTTAATTAACAAGACTTGTGTCACTCAAATCATTATTATCTCCCATCCCCCCAAAGATTCTTACAATCTGAAAATATTTTCTAGTTTTAAATAACCTGCAAAGGGTTGATAAGCCGTAAAAACACCCACAAACACATAGACGTACACACAACAGACGCACACACATCCACGGATAATCAAAGACACGTATTAAAAATTGATATTTAGTCATATTTTGTAAAATGGGTCCGAATGGATTCATTTGTGCTCGGACCTATTTTACAAAACATGATTAAATAATAACTGATATATCAAAATACAGCTATAATGAACACGCAAACACCTATAGTCTGGTTGAATGGATTTCTCTGTAACCTTGGAAACGTGAATTATGTTTTTTGCTATGCCTTTAAAAACCCAGTAATTTAAAAGTTACTCCAAAATTCGCTTGAGGATGAAATGGAACTAATGTCTTTAATTTAATTACAAAATTAAATTCGAAGCTTTGAGCTTCCATTTTTGAATCAGGGTTAGAACTGTGTAGCGAAAAAAAAAAACATATTTTAAATCAATTAATTTATAATATATATATATATATATATATATATATATATATATATTGTACCCAGGAAAACTATTGAAAGGGAAATGCCAATTCCTTTGTTTTTATTATTCACAGAAGATATTTGGGTTTAAGAACAAAAAAGATGAATGCGAAACAAGAGTTCAGAATTTCAAATTTTATTTCCTGTTTTTTACATTTAGATATGTTAAACATGTTAGACATTCTCATGACGGTCGTCCTCGAGTATAGAATCCAGAGGTTGGCAGTGAATATTTCGGAGACAGTAGGAAAGCGTACTTTAGGTTCGCAGTGGATATCACAGCAGAGTGTAGTTCATCCTTCTCCTGGTCGCCTTTGGTCCTTCCGGTAGAGGAAACAAGATGGCCGCCTTTATACACGACGAATAGTGTTGTGCGGCTTCTGATTGGTCAACCTTCTATTGGTCGACTATAAAGGGAAATAAGTCCTTCTGACTCGCTCACTAGTTATATGTTATATACCCAAAAAACCGTAACAAAACATAATAGGATATACCACATTTTGTTTGAACCCACCCATTTTTTAACCGAGAAAAACTACTAGAACACATGACTGACAGGTGTTTCTCGTTGTCCAGGTGTTGCCTTTTAGATTGGTCGTTTATATATTAAATAGCTATGAATGACTACTCTTGGTTTTAGAATTGGGCTTCACCTGTAAAGATTGCCTTTATTTTTAAAAGGGTAAACCAACATGAAGACGAGAGAGTTGTCTATGGCAGAAATGCAAGTCATTTTGAAGCTAATAAAAGAAGGAAAATAGATCAGAACCATTGGACAATCAGTTGACATCACCAACGCAACAATTTAGAATGTCCTGAAGAAGTAAGAACCTGTTGGTGTGGATTGTATATAAATTTTTCGATGTAGCTATTGAATTTAACGATACTGTTTTCTCCAGTGCTAGAAAAACTAGCTGGTTACATTCAATGCTTCGAAAACCAAGCTAGTTACATGCCATGATCGCCGATCGGATCTTGAACTACCACCAGTCACGATGATTCAATGTTCCCTCAGGGAGTCCCCGTGCCTTGAGTGACTATACCGCCTTAAACTCAACTCAGACCTCAAGTAGAACGAATACATATGACCCGAGGCTAAAGATGCAGAAAACATGGTCGATTCTCTCAATCGCTTCAGTAAATACCTGACACCTCGTGTTGGCTTTTACCTTCACAAAAGTCAGATCAGGCCTAAAATAGAGCAACGCTGTCATATTTTGGCAGGAGCTGCCCAGTCCTCAATTTTCAGTCTAGATAGAATCTGAAAGTCTGTTTGCTTCCTTGTCGGTGACAAATTATTTTCCACCCTGCAACACGTTATCACAGACCAAATGTCGTAAGCCTCTCACTCCTCTAACGCTATTACCACGGAAAATGCTTAGAAGAACTAAATTCCTTAGTTCCACCTGTTCTAGCCTACACATCTAGGACCCGCAATGCTACGCACATTGTAGCGAAACACCTTCATTTCCTTCGTATTTCATTGGTGAGATGAAAGTTCCACTTGATCAGCTTCTTCCTGCAAATCACTGCTTTGTTCAACTGACTCTGAAGAGAATGTTTTCTCGATCATTACAATTTGAACCTGTTCAAATTCAAGGTTAACCGTTATCTTCCCCACATATCGGCATAAACTGTGCCTCTTACTCTGATCAGGCCACGAGTGCTGTTATTTTTCTCGAGAGCCGAGAAAAATAACAGCACTCGTGGCCTGACGATTGCATCTAGCATGAAACAGACTGTCGCCTCTAAGTGTTGACTTCTATGTTCACTTTTATATTTACACACGCACTATCTCTGACATATAGCACATCATAAGACTATATTTCTTCATATATATATATATATATATATAATGACAGATTGATATATAATTTCAATAAACTTTTCGTAAACTAGTTGATATATTGAAAGCAACACACATGCCAACACATAAACAGTACAATAATAAGAAGAAAGTGTAAATGGTAGCTTATTTAAATCCTACACATACACACAACTTCATCTCCAGATAAATAGGTGTCCTCTGTAAAAAGATCTCTTGATTGCAATTTCGTCACACCAACGTGGATATATATATATATATATATATATGTATATATATATATGTATTATACACAACTGACTTCTCTCGACTAACACCTGCGTAAAATAAGTTAACCGTTGTCGCTCCAATTAAATCTGCTTATAGGGCCTGATTTATAACTTACCTACCTAAATCCAAGCTTTAATTGTATGCAAATTATGTTTAGCAAGACGCCTATCAGCTACTGATTGATGAACAACTGTGTGTGGGAAAAGCAGAGGGCAGATTATTAAAGCGCTTGGGAGCTGTGGCTCTCTTTGCAGGAAACTATAAATAATAATCAGGTGTAAACGTTATTGGAGAAAGTCGCTTCCTGTTACACACTGGCTTTGAAATCTCTTTTTCCTCTTACAGTGGAAATCTCGTGTCTACGAAACAAGTCGTGAATTATGAGACGGGCAACTGGCCAAAACTCAAGATTTGATTTCGTCGTGTCTAGAAGAATATGAAGTTTTCTTTTGTTTGAATGAAATCACACACACACACACACGCACACACACGCACAAGCACATATCTCCCCACTTCTCAGTCCCAACTTCTCTCTCTTTCTCTCTCCCTCTAATATATATATATATATATATATATATATATATATATATAATGCTCAAACACTAATATTCCATGGTTATAATTTATCACATTGGAATCGTAATCACGATCCAATTCATCAGATCTACAAATTAAACACACACACACACACACACACACACACACACACACACATATATATATATATATATATATATTGAGGGATTCGAATAATCAAATTAAAGCAATTCATTGATAGAAGAATCCTCAACAGAATGGAGAAAGCACTGGACGGCAGTTTCGTCCCTTTTTGGGAATTCATCAGCAGTGTGCAGGCACTACTGAGAATCGAACCCGGACCGTAATCATACAATATTACTTTAGTCGAATCCATTACATTCACTTACGTGCTAATATCCTTGGGAAAGGTGTGAATCTTCTTCTTCTCCTTCCAGCTATGCTGTAATTAGCAGGACAGACTGGGTTGGCAACTGATCTAGGAGAAGGACAACTCTGAATTCAAAACCTGCGGTGGGTACTTTGGTAACCTTGTGGCACTTAGTGCACCAGGTCTCTGTATTCGGCCTTTCAAAAAGTGTGGATGGTTGTTCACGAAACATTCACCACAATAATCAAATCTCATGTGCCGTTGTCGGGCTATCGGTTTCCTGGGAACTGATCTGCTTGGCCCTTATACGCCGAATTCGACGGGAGGGTCGAGTAGTATATCTATCTATCTATATTGTATGCGCGTAAAGTGGAAAGTGGTCAATATCTGTGATAGAGCTTAGATATTCAGTTGTAAACCTGGCTTTTGCGATCAGCAGATAAACTTTGGCTGATGATCGCAAGAGCTTGAAAAAAGGTTACAAACTTATATGTATATATATATATATATATATATATATATATATATATATATATATATATATATATATATATATATATATATATTCACTAAATAGTCGAAAGTAACAGAAATGACAACAAAATATGAACTATGAACAATTTATCCAGAAATTCATGTACAATAATCAACACTTTATTCGAAGATTGGAAAAATGTAATAAAAAATTAAACAGACAGACCAAGATATAAAAAAAAGAACTTCAGGATTAGATATCTCATTAAGTGTTAAATTGTAATAAACAGAATTAATAAATAAATATGAGTTATTTTTATTCTTTTTAAACTTGTTTGGGTAAATACACGCACACAGACTCACATACGTATATATATATATATATATATATATATATATATATATATATATATATATATATATATATAATGGTATGCAGGTTTGCCGTAAGGCTACTGGGAGTGGGAGACTGCTTGCCGTCATCTAAATACATTTTCAAACTACTTTATCTCACGTTACAACTCTTGCGACAAAATCCTAAATTCTGATCATAAAAATTATTAAAAACGTTATACATTTTATGATTTAATTATTGAAGGATAAAAAGCAATTTAT